TCGTTCTGTCACGTTTCTCACTCGCGCGGATTCTATACCGATATTTGCCCTATTCGCGGCTGTAAGTGGGTACTACCTACGACAGACGATCTCGAAATTCTGGATAAATAATCAACCGTCTTGTAAAAATATGATCTCTCGTTTATGCACTTTGCGTTCCTATCGTTCTTGTATTTTTGCCAAACAACTTATTAGGCGCGATCAATTATTGATTTTTGTAGAGGGTTCCACAATATTGTTACATAAATTATTAGAATCATATTAATATTTTATATTCGGGGATGTTTAAATATTTCGTATTTCGTAAATTTATGTAACAAGCATAATAAATTGTAATTAAAAGTAAATCATTGATGTGGTCCACAATTTTGGTTTTATCACATTCATGTCGGTTTATAAATATTTATTCGTCATATAATAAAAAAGATATATTTTGTTTAATAGTCGTGTAAATTATATTTGACAGTAATCGCAATCCATGTGACGATCGAAGATAAATCTAAGGAAGATTTAACGAGAAAACCAGACTTAGTCTTTGAAATAGACGGGGATGAAAGCGCGTTAATTAACTAAAATCAGATCCAGATAATCGAAATAATCTCCGGGGCCACAACGAGAAGAGGATTAGACGTCTACCGAAATACTAATCCATTTGTTATACACTACCAGCAGTAAAATCTATCCGGGTGCGCTTCTAGGACGTTGTTATTTTAGGTGATATCTGAGAGTATGGCTGAGGAGACCCGCGCGAGGGGGAACAGTGAATAGATTGAGGAGAGGCAGAAGGGAAATGCAGAGAACGGTCGTCGTCGCGCAGGTTGTGGGTCGAGCCTTAGCGAGGGAAGCGCCCGAGGACCCTCGAAGGTAATCTTGGCTCGTTCGCGGAGGGTTGCATTTTGATCCCCGGAGCTTCCGCCGTGGCACGATCTCTCCGCGCCACCTCTGCGTCCGGGCTCACGCATTTACTATAATTAGAACTTCCTAATTAACGAGCAAACGTCGCACGGGTCTGTCGTAATCTCAGGCTTGACCTTCCACCATCGTTTAGACGCCTTTTCTCGCCCCCGCATTTTAATCCGCCTTCCTCCTCTTCCTTCCCGCACCGCTACTGTCTGCCCACTCGCGGAACATCAAGAAAAAGTGGAGGCTGCGCGCGGCACTAAAATTTATTCCATTCTTTTTATTTCGAGATTAAGGGAAATGTATACAGGGTGTCCCATTTTAATCAACGCACTGGAATTTCTTCGAAACTATACGAGATATCGAAATCTTATTTTTACGAGATTATGTGATATCGAAGGGGACACATATGTTATGATAAAAAAATTTGATTTTGCAGGATAGACGTCTAAGTCAATAGACGTTATAACCCAAGATCGTGAAATGATCAAATGCGAGCTTGCAATATTGCCTTTGTGCAATTTTTTAATTACCTGGCAGAATCAGACCAGAATAACTCCTGATCATAGAAGGTAGTACTGAATAGTAGAAGATGCGTGTACGGGTTTATGTTTAAGGTAGTTTAGGTAGTAAACATAATAAGTACCATCCTATACAAGATTTAATAATAATACATTACATATTATATTATATATACAGCAATAATGTATTTAGTACGAACGATGTATGTATTGTATTATTATCTCTTGTGTAGGATGGTACTTATTGTGTTTACTACGTAAACTACATAAACCGTAGTATGAGTACTACCATGTGCATTTTCTGCTACCTTCCACCCAATGCTACCTTCTGTACTCAAGATTTATTCTCGTTTTTTGCTAGGGACGACAGTCTGAACATGCATGAAGGCAGTGATATTGAAAGCTCGCATTTAATTACTTAACCTTCGACGATCTTAAGATCATAGCGCGTTGAGCTTCTAATGAATAGGGCAAAAAGATAGTCGTAAAAAATATAGTTGACCTTTATTTGACTTTGATGCTTCTGCTTAAGATTAAATTTTTTTATCAAAATATGTTTCTGTTATATTCCATGTAGTTTTAAAATCATTATAAATATCTTTGTGATATTTAATACCATAGGGATATTTGAAATTATTTTGAAAGAGAGAGAGAGAGAGAGAGAGAGAGAGAGAGAGAGAGAGAGGAGGGAGGAAGGGAGGGAGAGAGGAGAGAAAGATCTCGTAAAATGTGATTTTCGTGAACTAATATTCAATGCATATATTTCGTAAATCGATGAGGATACGTATTTCTGATATATACTCATATTTTCAGTGATGCTGATTCTCTCGTTTGGCTAGTATCCTTTAAAGTATACAAGAAATAATAATACGGCGAACGTTCCTCGTTTGTTCCCACCGCATTCGAAATCACGTGACACGTAATGTCAACTCTGACACTCGCGTCACCAGATATCCCTTTTCCCTCTGGGGGACAAGTTGTTTTAAAATAATTTTAAAATGTTGAGTAAATATTACGCGCCGACGCGTGCAACCATATTGAACCAAAATGAGAAAATAAGCTTTCTAAGCCGCTACCCCTTTATAGATCTTCAGCTGGATAGCCCTCTTCTTCTCTTTTTCTGTCGTCAATGGAAACTGAGAAATGGCAAATAAGAAATTATTAGGAATAATTTTATAGATCGTACGTTATTTTTAATTGAACAACGATAAGTTTTTATTGACGATGAAATTTTATTTTAAATTTACTGTGATTATTAAAGTACAAAAGTGAAAGTTTTATATAAGTATATAAATACAAACTTATAAAAGACAATATACAAACTTATAAAAAACAATATTAAAAAGTTACAGAATAATTAAAGAGTCATGAAAGAGGAAAAATCAATTTACAGAATTAAAAATAATATAATGATTATATTTATATACATATATAATATATAAATTTGAAATAGTCGATGGGAGTAATTGCGATTACTAGTGCGCAGTTAAGAAACTTATATTGTAATTATTCTTTGCAATAATTCTTGTTATTTTGTTTGTTAATTGTATATTTATTTTTTTGTGGTATTGTGTATTTGCTGTGGATCTGAGATGCACACAGTCAAGGATTCCATCTAACTGTGCAACTCATGGATGAAAAAAGCAATGACTGTCTTAAAAAATTTCAAGAAAACTTTTATATTATCAATGTTGTTAATCTATTTAATTAAAAAGTTTTGTGTTAGAGAAGTGCGCTGACTCCCATTGTTCTTTTTAAATTTAATTATTTTATGAATTATCGAAAATCTTTATTGCTGTTTTTGCATTATACAGAAAGTATCAGACTACTCGTATTATCCTTTTTTCTTGGGAATGAATAGTAGTTGGAAATTAGGAAAAAGTTTTCATTATTAATGCTTATCTGAACTATTTGATGATGGAAACTATCCGGCATTTAGGTAAATCTGGGTCAAGTTTGAAATTTTAATTAGGAACATAAGTCGAGTAGGGTATCATACACTGAAAGAAAAGGTTGGCTGCTGCAGCAAATTAGATGGTAAAATATATGTCATAGCATTTTTAATTGGCTGCAACAGTCAATTTTTGGTTGCGTTAGCCAATTGAAATCCTATACTGACATTGCGGATA